ATATCGAAGGAACTAGATTCTGTTCCGAAATAACACATACTCGAACCGACCTTACCGCGTAGCTCAGTTGGCAGAGCATTGGGCTAGTATTTCAAAGGTCGTAGGTTCGATTCCCACCGTGGCCAGGCATATTTTTCAAGCTTGCCCGGTGTGGATATACACTCAGAGTAACATCACAAGCATCATATTCACCTGAGTACATTACACCAGCACAGAAAAAATCATAATCTGTCTTTCCTAACTAGGTGACTAACTACTTTGGAATTGAATGGATGAGAAGGCACCTTGCACCCAAGGGATACAGAGTGCATACTGTATCTTTTGAAGATTCTAATCCCCTGCATATCGATGCTACATTCAACGTGATTGGACCTGGTCTTGTCCTATCTAACCCCGACCGTCCCTGCCGTCAAATAGATATGTTTCACAAAGCAGGATGGCAAGTGGTTGAACCACCAACACCATTGATTCCTGATGATCATCCTTTATGGATGACATCTAAATGGTTATCAATGAATGTTCTTATGTTGGATCCCAAGAGGGTTGTCGTTTCAAAGCATGAATACACCACACAAAAGGTAGGCCAAAACAAAGACTGCAGATACATGTTACTGGCAGTGGTGTGCCTAACTTCTGTGACCTTAGTTCGATTGATATTAGCACAGAATAGGAAGTTATACCAGAAGCGTAACTCTAGTCGTTTCCCTTATTGTTTGACGTCCACGAAAATTTTAACTCGCTCACGTCAGGCCACGCCATCCTGGCTAGTACAGCCGGAAGTTTTTATCAGGATTTGGTAAGTACAAAGTGCCGGTTGTACTAGCCAGGATGGCGTGATTGATGACGAATCGCTGGTAAAAACGCGGACAAATATTTGCTCGAGTTACGCTTCTGGTATAACTTCCTATTCTGTGATATTAGGGAGCTTTAGATTTGACTACGAGTACGACTACGAGTACGAGATTCGTCAAGCTAAACGCATGCTGTATGCTTACGCCATCCCGTACTGACGCGAAAAAGTCGTAGCCGTCGCCCATCTGAGTACGAAATTGTGGAGAAATCTCGTAGTCATCACGACGACTTTAAAAAAAAAACAGAGGAAGTTGGCTTTTTTTTGTTTTCCAAAAATAATTTGTAGCATTTATATAGCGTTTATCCGGCGCAAATAATATATTAGTACTAAATATCTGGCCTGTTTTTAATGTTATGACTTATTTACACGTTTTGTAGGGGATTTTAGTCTGCAGGAGATTTAGTTTATTAAACTTTTTCTCTCGTCAGTTGGTTTACTGTTATAAAAGCAACATATGAATCGAAACGAAAACGACTACGGTAATTTCCTCGCACGCGATCAAATCTCGTACTCGTAGTCGTACTCGTAGTCAAATCTAAAGCTCCCTATTGCAGCTGCGATGGTGAAATCCCAAACTCCTTGTAATACTCGGGTGTTGACTACAGTAAAAAATTCGACGTTATATGCCTTTTCCCCAATCTACAAAACTCTTCTGCAACCTGTTCATGTGAGGGTAGCTACCTTCAACCGGGCTGAAACTCATCCCGGGCTGAAATTTCTGTCATGCCAATCGCTTGCTGTGTTTTAATAGAATTTTATCCTATAGGCCGGGCTGAAATTTCAGCCCGGGAAACCGGGATGAAACTCAGCCCGGGCTGAAAACTCTCCATGTAATCAGCCCCTAAGACCAAACTAATCAAATGAACTTTATTTCATATCTCATCTTATTTTAGATGTTTGAAGATCTTGGCATCGAGTGTATCCCTGTGGATATTACGTATGCCATGTCGCTGGGCGGAGGATTTCATTGTTGGACCACTGACGTGAGAAGACGTGGAACATTAGAAACATATTTTAATATTTGATTGGCAAAATAAAATCTACAAATTGTAGTAGTAAGTGTTTCAGTGATGTGTTCACTTTCACATTTAAATCATTAAAGGTAGACTTTAAAAAATGTCGTAAGAATATTTCAACGCAAATTTGTCCGAAAAATAAAAATATTCAAAGATTTATCTTTTTCCGAAGAGGCATAGGCGTACGGGGGGGGGGCGGTAGCCCCCCAGTTTTTTGGGCAGTTGGGCAATATCCCAGTTTTTTGGGCAGTCGGGCAATATTCGATCAACAGTCGGGCAATTTTGGTTTGCAATTAAAAAAAATGGGACAAATTCTGTCAATTTTGTCTAAAATTAAGTAAATTTTTTGGCAAATTTTGTGATTTTTGGAAAATTTGTGTTATGTTCCGAAAAATATTGGTTGTCCGGAAAATTTTTTTGACCCCTAAAATGGTACACTGACCGAAATTTTTTTGGCGACGGGGGGGGGAGGTCGCCAAAATAATTTTTCCGGAAAAAAATTTTTGGTGCTAGTCGGGCAGAATCCCGAAATTTTTTGGGCAATGTGGAATTTTTTGGGCAAAAAAGCTACCGCCCCCCCAGAATTTAGCGGCCCCGTACGCCTATGCGAAAAGGCATAATGTGACATTAGTCAATAACCGTGGTGCATGGTTTTTGTGTGTTTTGGTGTTATAGTACTCAGGTGAATATGTTTGTGATGTTATATAATTATACTCTTAGTGTGCATCCGCACCGGGCAAGCTGAAAAGTTTGCCTGACCACGGTGGGAATCGAACCCGGCGCGACCTTTGGGATACTAGTCCAATGCTCTACCAACTAAGGCAGCGTTTACACTGTACCGTTTTCGTATAGCGTTCTCGTAATGTTCGAGAGAACTAGACTATTGTCTTGCGTTCCCTTGAGGATTAAGAACAATACGAGAACGCTACGAAAACGGTACAGTGTAAACGCTGCCTAAGCTAGGTCAAACCGGTTCGAGGTCAAGTCGGTTAGAGATCAAGTCGGTTAGAGTTGGTGATATTTTCCTTTTTAGATGTGTTATTCCAATGTCAAGGTTACAGCCACTGAGGTTACAGCCGAGACCGGTCTGATTTGAAATGTATTTGTGTTTACATTCAATCATTCATCCCAGTTCTGAATCAGTCATGCCGGTCTGAAGTCAGTCATGCTTAAAAATCACTCAAATCATGCTTAAAAATCATTCAATATATATATATATATATACATTTTTATACATAAATTGTGTTATAATATCGCCGAACCCTTTCCGCATCGATGGGCCAGTATAAAATGGCAGTAACTCAGAAATTCAAATTCAGTTTAGTATAATTACATAGGTGATTATTGAAAATTCTCCACGCTGATTGATTGCCGTTGAGGTGATTATTACGCGATAATCACCTAAGCGATTTTCAAAATGGCGGCCGAAGCCTTTATTTTTTACACGAGTGAAAAGTTTTAAAGTTCGATTGTGAATGTCGTAGTACGAAAAAGGAACGTGTGAACGGAAATTAAAGCGGCGAAATTTATGAATGTAAAGAGTGCATTTTTCAATAAAATTTTGTAAGGGGCGGACCATTAGAAATCCCGGGAGGAGGGGTATAAAATTTTTGCGGCACGAATTTTTTTTTCAGTCTCATGTCTCTGCAGGAATTTTTTTAATGCATTTAACCTCTGCAAGAATTTTTTTTCAAGACTACTTGTACTTTGCTGCTTGCTTGCACGAATTTCTTTTCTCTGACGTAATGGCTGCACGAATTTTTTTTCCAGGCATTTTTCTTTGCACGAATTTTTTTGGGGGAATTTTCACGCCCCCTCCCGGGATTTCTAATGGTCCGCCCCTAAAAAGAGACTGGCATGGTTTTAATTAACCTTTAAAGATCACGCCCACACGCCTCCCACTTTAATAGGCATACGTGCTTGGCACGCTTGCCTGCTTGGTCTACTAAATTATATGGTTCATTGCTTACAGACAGACACCGAGATTTATACTATTTATACTGTTTGACTTAGCTTTTTATTGATAATTGTGGCCAAAATCTCGCAAAAATGATGTTGTTTCGTGGTGGATGTCGAGGAAGGGAACCAGCTATTATAAAAAAGGTAAATATTTATTTGTACGGAATTTCCGCTACAGTGAAGCTCTGTGAAATGTACGAATATTTTCAAAACGCCCTAACTCGCGCCGTGAATGTCGAAACATCGTGAAATTTTCGGTATAGAATAACTTGATCATGAAGATTTCAATTCTGAGGTCCATTTTAGCCAAAGATTAGCAGATAGTGAGGTGGAAAATTGATGACGTCAACTCTGATTGCGAGAATCCGCTTTTCTGCAAAATTTATCGCTTTTCTGCAAAATTTATCGCTTTTCAAAGACTGTCCTTTATATAATAAACAGAAAAATACATGTGTGCTTGGAAATACCAGATTTATTTCTCGTGTTGAACATGATATCTCACTCGTTCGCTGCGCTCACTCGTGAGATATCATGTTCAACACTCGAAATAAATCTAGTATTTCCGCGCACCCATGTATTATTCTCTATATAAACTCATTAAAAGGCCAGTATTGGCAGTAAATAATTTTCAACGCCTTTTGCCCTTTAATAAGCTACAATTGCCAAAATATCAATAAAAACATGAAATGATCCACAAAGCTTTATAAATTATATTTATATCAAAATGTTGCCAATGACGATTGACGAGATAAAGACTCAATTTTAACCGATGCATGTTTAAAGCAATCACACCTTCCAGCTAGCCAAAGTGTTAAATTTAGGTTTATAATAATGTACCCTGTTGTAACTAGTCTCCTAGCTGTAATATTCCATGAATTACCTTGTGATCAGCATCTGCAGACTACAATAGCTGAAGCCCCATGGGGGTGAAATATGAGCCTACCAGACAACAACAACAAAAGTTATTTGATCCAATGAGCTAATTGGTGCTTGTGGAGACTGGTTTGTAAGGTCTCATAAAAGCATAGGCCGATAGGCGTACGCGAGGAAAAAAATAGGGGATCACAGACAAAAATTTGCCTGTATGATCTTGATGAAATTGCCTGACCACTATAAAATTTCTGTCAGCATCCTCATTAAATTGTGCATGAAACAGATCTTTAGAATTAAATGTCCTGTTCGCGACTTGTACAGTTTTGGTTAGAACTGGTAATTCAAATACTACCCCTTCTGGGCAGAACCTACGAAACCCAAATAGGAACACCTACGGTACCATGGAGAGTTAATGCTTAATGAGCATGATGGTCAATTTTTGAGAGTCAACATTTTGGTAGATATAACTGAATCCATTCTGACCTAAAGATTTTATAAAACAGAGCATGCACCTTGGATACATCCCATGTCTTTGAGAAATGGGGAAGAGGGGGTCGAGAATGAAAACCCCTTTTAAGAATCGAGACACTATAGTGGTAAGGTTATAACCCGACATTCTGTAAATTAACCTAAGGACCTCAGGGACCCCAAGAATTTCAGCCATTTGGATTCCAGCTGACATTTAGCTCACAAGAAAAAAATTAAATTTCCATCAATGCATGGGTTTTGAATGTTTTTAAAGCTTTACCATGCAAGTATTAACTATCATTGTAAAATTCTTATTGGAGTAGGTCCTTCAACATATGAACTAATCAATTAACCCCATTTTGAAATGTTCGTAGGGATTGATCGTGGGGTTTGTCAAAAAGGCTGACATATCACCAACTAACAACTACTGTAAATTACTAAAACTTTCGCCAGCTTCCAGCCATGAATTGGGTGACAAAATCAACTCACCATCTGCACAGCTGTCTGCAAACTCTTCGTTAGCGTTCCAATCACGAGCGTGCTTATATTAAATCGAATTGCCTGAAACAAGAGTAGATATACATACAGAGCTAGAAATGACCGTCATAAACACTGCAGAAACTTACGTTTTCATGTACCCACTTTTTACAGGCGACCGCTAGCCTGCTCGCAGACGTTGTTATTCTTACACCAAAACCACTGCGAAAAACTAACGTCTGCTTACCCGAGCGCCAAACTGAATTCCGCTACGTCAACCAATCAAATTTTCCTTCCAAATTCTGGAAAGTGACGTCAGTTGATTTAGGAGCGGAATAAATATAAATATTTTGGTCAAAATTGCACACAAATTGAATTTAAAGATATGTATTGATACTTGTCGAGGTAATAAAATGCACCTGATTAATGATCAGATTTGGATATTGTCATTATTGAAGATGTTCAGTTATATTTAAAATGCGGACAGGATGGTATATTTATACTGTATGAATCTACGCCAGACATCATCAAAGTAAACATGGTGAAGTTATAGTTTCCAAAATATATCCATGCAACTGTCTCGTCCCCAGGCGATTAAAACGATTTCACATACGAGTCACTAAATAAAAGGTTTACATGAAGTAGTGTGTCACATTATAGGCATGCAAAGGGGAGTGGGATATGAGCGTTCTGGTTAGCGCCTGGCCGATCTTGTACAATAGCTGTCGAACATAATTTCATAAAAACAAGTAAACAGCAGATCTAAATATAAATGCCTACATGTATGTCACCAAAAAGAAATTTATAAAGCTATCCTTACCTAATTATTCAAAATTTTGTCGATCGTTTGCATCATGAAAATCAAACACACTGCGTGTAACTGAAATCCTGAGACGAATCAGGCCATTCCATTTAAAATCTGTTGACGAGGTTACTGATTTTAGACCCCTCAATTGGAAACGGTTTTCCGGAAGACCCCTTCGGAAATTTACAATTTTTCTCAAGCTCCTCGGAAATACCTGTTGATGTGGTTCCATTACGATAGACCCTCTCGGAAATTTTCAGGAATTTATTGACCCCCCCTCGGAAATTTTCATCAACAGGTAGTACCTTCCTCCCCACCCCCCTCGGAAACTTTAAAAAATATTTTGACCCCTTGGAAAATTAAAAAAAATTTTACCCCTTCAAAAAGTTTCCTTTTACAACCCCCTCAGAAATTTCAACTTTGCACA